GCGGGGCCGGGCGCTCCCCTCTGGGTCCCCCGGGCTGTAGCGGGACCTCGGAGGAAGTGGGGACGGCTTGGAACGGAAAATTTTAGTTGTGGATCTCGGCGAAACTGAAGGATGCCACCTCCCCGCCCCCGCCGCATCCAGTCCGCTTGGGCACCACCTGTGGCCAAGATTCCTGCACTGACTGTCCCGCGGCGTTTCCTCAAAGCCATCATTCATGGTTGAGTTTTCCTTCGTTTCTCAACTAATGAAATTCGAGGGTCAGACCGCCCCGATCACTGGGCTTTATCCCTAGCACAGATCTGGGTTTCTAGAGCCAGAGGAGGGAGGACGAAGATGCATTTGGCCAGTGGGGCGAACCTCATCTTCAGGGGAAGTGGGGTTTCCCTCGGAGCCGGGCCCTGACGGTTAAAGCAGGGTGGCTGTGCGCGGGCGATGGCTCATCCAGGTCGAGGAACCGAGGGGACTCTGGACCTGCATGCATGCCTCACACGAGTTTGCCTATCCCAGATCCCTGACGTTGGTGTCTGCCCTATTTCAGTTTCTGAATTTAAGTTTGAAAGACCATAAATATATTAGCAAGTAATTATGTAACACTCATTATTCGTAACTATGTAACCATTCGAATTCTCAAAACAGCATCTATGAAGTAAGTTTGTAATAGTATCACCCCATATTACAAATGAGGAAACTGAGGCACAGACTGTATCCCCAAATGTTTCTCTTTCTCAAAGGTACCATTTACGGTGCCATCAGAATTGGAGCTGAGCCGATTGACCCCAGAATCGTGGTCCTTTTCTAGGGGTCAGGATGTCCTCTTGCCCAAGCTGGGGGATTCACAAGTGTCTTCTCGCCTTCAGGTCCTGAGCACTGGCACCAGGACTTTCCCATTGCCAGTGGAGAGCGCCAGTCCCCAGTCGACATTAACACCAGTGCAGTCAAGTATGACTCTGCCCTGAAGACCCTGTGCCTTAGCTATGACCAACCGATTTCTCAAAGGATCATCAACAACGGCCACTCTTTCAATGTGGAGTTTGATGACCCCCAGAACAAAGCAGGTCAGTGTTTAAAAAGTAACTTGTGCCTTTTAGCCATTAGCTGCTTTCCAGCTTAATGGAAGAAATCAAGAGCACTCACGGAAACTCCTTAACACTACAGTTTGTCTCAGTACTGTGAGATGTCATACTGATTGTTTTCATTGCAACACAGAGATAGCAGATTCAGGGTCTTACTTTTTCTCCCTTGTAAGATGCCTGGCTTTTATGAAGGGCATTGAATAACCACAGTATGGCTGTGAAAAGTCACAAGAGGTTTCTGGATTAGCCAGAATAAAATTTGAAACAATTGGAATGATAAGATTCTTTCTAAAATATGTCTTCCAGAGTGGATGCCCATCTATTAAAAATTATATCTTAGTGTGTTATTGCCAAGGTAGCAGTGAAAAGTGAGGAATATCTGTCAATTTAAAATAATTTACATTCTTGGAAGACGTTGTATTCATGACCATTTCTTGGTACTTGGCTATTGTGATAGAGGTGGGAGCATATTTTGGTATCTACCCAGAAATTCATGACACAGGGAAAGGTGTTCAGAGATGGGGGATATACCTGGCTCATGACTGACAAGTCCAGTTACTGTAAATTATTTGTAGTAGGGCTGCTTATAGGATGCCCATTGAATCCTTCTATTTTATTTAGAAACAGTTGAGAAGTCTCATTTAGACATAGTAGCTGCCTTTTTTGCTCACTGCTTGATTTAATTGCCAGTGTCCTGTTTTGCCGAGTTCTTTCCTCTGAAGGTCACTGAATGAAATGGTGCTGCCAACCCATGGCTTTTGGTGGTAGTGGGAGGAGTGCAAGAGCACAATGAGAAAAGCCAGGAAATGTTCAGTAATGCTGTCACAGTTTTGGAGTAATGACGTATGATGCTAAGGTGCAATGTGTAATTAAATCCATTATGGTTAGATTGACTCTTTTCTAGTAGCTGGACATTATATTCAGTTCAGTTTTGAAAAAAAATTCTTCAATCTCTTTTGGAAATTTTTGAACTTTGGTTTTCAGAAACAGAGATTCAGGAAGACAGTTTAATAATAGTCATATCCACACTTGATGCGGAGATTATCCGAGAAATGCTTTCCACCTACCTGTTCTGTGCATAGACTTCTTTAGTACACGTAGACACACCCCCACACACAGACACTCAACACATACACAAACATGTAGATTCGTACTGTGTGGCTTTCTTATGGTTACAGTCAAGTAGGGGATTATGTTGAAGACATTTTTTTTTTTCCAACGATTTGGCTTACGTTGCTTTGCCAAGTATTTCTCCCATTCTAAGGAAACAATGCTCAAATGATAAAATTTAACACAATTCTTTTGTCTTAAAAATTATATATTTATAGCCTGATCAAAGGTCTCAAGATATTGTACATACGTATAGAAAGGTACCTCTAAAATTTCATTTTTAGTCATTCAAAATCCAGAAAAAGTGAACTATCTTAGTCTAAAGCTCTCAAATTCTTTCTAAAGAGCCACAGTGAAATTATTGTTAGCAATGGATGTAATGCCCAGCTAATTAATTATTTACCCTATCGGATGCTATGTAGAAATTTAGAACTGGATGCTTCAAGTGGGTGTTTTTGAGAAGAATGAGGAAACAAATGGGAACCGATGATAACAATTCCCTCAATGGTAGCTTTTACAAAGGTGTTTGTGAAATTAGTTGTTCCAGTAATGCATAAAGAAATTAGTTTCCAGTAATGCATATTCCTGGAAAGTTGATTTCAGCTTTTAGCCTGCTGGCTGCAAGCCTCACTTTGGAACAGACAGATCTGAATTTAAGTTTTAGCTCTGCCACTAACTAGCTTGGTGACTTCGGGAATGACAGTAACTTGACTTCTCTGAGTTTTAGGCTTCTGTAGCTGTGCTGTTGGGATAGCAGTAGAATCTCCCATAAGACACTGTGTGGAGCCCTTCACCCAGCGCCGGAGCACAGCAGCTCCCCAGGGTGACCCCTGTGACCACACACCGTCTGCCTGCCTTTACTGCAGGAGTGCTGCAGCTTATAGTGCCTGTGTTAAGGTCTCTGAAGAAACTTTAATCGGCTTTCAAATTAATTTCTTGTGTTGCGGTGAAACATCCTGTTTATTATATTAAATGTGTGCTGCTTTTATTTATGACATTATCATCTAATTTCTTTCACCTGGAATATATTGTTTGGTGGATTTTTGCATGAGCAGTAATTGATTAGAGCTGGCCCCGTTTTCCCAGCTATTTCTTCTGGTGAATAATGGCTGCAGTTAGATTGTAAAACAGAATAAAAATATTTGATTTAGATAGGGTTCTAAGCGGCGTCTTTAGAGACACAGGTATTATCATCCACTAATTGTTATACAAGAAAATCGCTAACACCAGTTAAGTCCCTGGAAAGTTGAGCTTCATGAAGGTGGGATGGAGGCCGGGTCCCTCTGCCATGAATCCCCAGACTTTAGGCTGAGGATACCTGAAGTAGAGAGACATAGAAATAATAGACACAGACAGTCACTTCGATAAATGCAAAAAGGAAGTATTCTAAGGGACGGTGGAAATGTGGTGGAAGCTTAGGAATCTAGCTGGGTACTCAGAAAAGGGTTTTTGGGGTAAATAAGGCTTATATGAAGTCTCGAAGGAGTTTGATATCTTGGAAATAGAGTACATAGTATGCGTTCTAGAAAGGCAAAAGGAAAAAAGTATGTTAAAAGCAAGGGTAAGCAGTAATAGAGACTTGTTCTCCCCAGGACGTGGAAGACTTCTTTGTGATTTTGCCAATGTCTCTTTCAGTTATTTTGGTTAGACAAGAATGCAGAATATAGTGCCAAGGATTTAGCTCAGTGGTGCTGCTGCCTGCCTCGCAAGTGCAAGGACCCAAGTTTGATCCCCGGTAGCAAAAAAAAGAGCATTACAATGTTGACATAAAAGAAAAACCCATCTACAGAATAAATTAAAAACTATACCATGTGGAGAAATACCCTTTAGACTTAAAAAAAAAATCCTAGATTCTCAAAGTGAGAGCAAATAGTTGAAATTCTGTAGTCAACCCACTTAAAGAAACATGAAGAAGCAGACAGTTTAGGAGTTTAAATAACTTGCTGAGGCTCTTCTTCCTAGTCCACTGGAGAGACCAAAAAGCAATCACATAACAAAAGAAGTTGATATGCCGGGCATGGTGGCCCATGCCTGTAATCCCAGCACTTGGGAGGCTGAGGCAGGAGGATCACTGTGAGTTCGAGACCAGGCTGGGCTACATACTGAGTTCCAGGTCAGTCTCAACTACGTAGTGAGACCCTGTCTCAAAAAAACAAAAAACAAAACAAAAGAATTTGTTAGCCATAGTTAACAGTGCATATATACCATGTTTTAAATCTTGTTATATTATTTTGTACACTTAAGTCCAAAAAAAACTCATTATTTGGGTTACTTAATGACCTTTTTGTTTGGAGTTATATTTGATATTAACATTTTAGATATTCTTTACCTCTTGCTTTTTGCTTCAGTTCCTTTACTTTTCTCCCCTCCTTAATGGGATTTCAGCTTTCTAGAACTTCTCATAAATTCAGATTTCCCAATATGCTCTAAATATTATCTTATGTAAGTCTTTGGCTGTATGGAACTAAGCTGGTTGAGTTTATTGCTATTTAAGCTGGAGATAATTCTTTAATGGGCTTTAAGTAGGAGCTTGGTTTAAAGTTCTCATCAGTTTTCCTAAATTCCTTTATAACAAACCACCTTAATGGAAAATTGCTAAACCTTTATTAAAAAATAACTCTCCCTGCTTGAGATGTTTGTTTGCCAACTTTATCTGGGAGAAACGAATAATAGTCAAATAATTAACTTCTGCTAACTTATTAACTTTTATTAATGAGTAAGACTCCCCTGCGTTATCACAGAATTAGGGGCAGAAGTGCCCGGATGATTGCATCACCCCATACATCCTTCTCATTCTATTGTTTTAGATACTGGAATTCTTTTCGTGTTTATGTTATTTCAAGAAAAAAGAAGGAAACAGAATGTACTTCATGTGTTTCTTTCAAGTAGACCATTGTCCATGAGACAGTAGGTCTTTGTACCTGGATTCTGGTCGATTTTTCAAGGGACTTTCTTTTGAAGCTGCAAAATTCTCAAGCAATCACAAATTAAAAGGAAGCAGAGTGACAACAAATAAAAGAACTTTGCATGTGACATAAGCAGAACCCTAGATAGCTGGAAAACTGGCCAAAGCTGCAGTTAATTATATTCCTGTTGAAAGTGTCAATTTTACTCCTGTGTAACTGCTGTGTAGCTTAAACTAAAAGTCGTTCCCTTAAAATTTGACCTTGTTTACTCTAGTGAAAGTGACCCCCTAAACATTTTGTTTCAAAGCACTGAAATAAGCACGTGTGTATTTCTTGCCTACTCCCTGAGATTTTCTGTCTTGACACCTAGCCCTAGCATGAATGATTTCTGTCAGTAAACAATAAAATACACGATTTCATCAGTAGTGAAAATAGTAATGTGTCATCTAAAAATTCTCAAGATAGTCATGGAGAAGACTGTTTAGCTCCTAGAAATGTCATGTTTTTTCTGTGAAATTTTTCATTTGCTTCATTATTGGGAAATTGTTTAGCTTTTAGTTAAACTGAAGACAATTGATAGTAACTTGTATTTTGGATTTAAGAGATGATTGACAGCAAAGGGGCTTGTTTGTTAGTCACACGTGTCTTAATTAAGCAACAATAATAATGTTAGGAAGAAAAATATTCAAAAACGCTAAATTTTCAGTTTTATTTCATATGGGCAGTCTGAATTTCAATATTGCTGAATCTCCTATTATTAACAAAAAGCCCAAACAGTTTAATAGTTTTCCTTAGTAGTAATATACAAAGGTAGATTATTCTATAATGTTATACCTTCTGGTTATGTTGTGTTGAAATGATGCCAGATCATGAAAATTAAAACCGATGGAGCTCTTGAATTTGAATTTGATTTTGATTTTGAGGATTTTGAAAATAAATTAAAGTACAAAGCCCATTTGTATTTCTGTATCCTTTGTGGAACACAATTCACAAAAATCATATATTCCAGATTGGTCTATTGATTGATTTTTGTGATTGCTACAGGCCATTTTCTGAATTATCATAGCTTAAAGTAAATCTGTTTTCTAATAAAAAATAATTTTTAAAAATAGCAGAAATTGCTGACTATTTTTCCTCTGTAAAATCCAGCCATGTTAGTGGCAGTCTATAGGGTCCAGACCTATTGTATCACAGAATGTTTTCTTTCTTTTTTTGGTACCAGGGATCGAACTTGGGACCTTGCACAGGCAGGCAGTGGAACCACTGAGCTAGATCCCCAGCCCCCACAGAATGTTTTAACAGGAGCTAAAGCAGGTATCTGATGACAAACCCAGATTCCCCCTCACCCCTTTTAAAGCGCTCATTGAACATTTTAAAATAAAAGTACTACAATTCTTGCCTAATTCTAAATGTTCTGTGAAGCAATTATATTAAAATCCAGTTTAAAGCCAGGGATTTAGCTCAGTGGCTCTGTAGCATCTGCCTCGAAAGTGCAAGGTCCTGAGTTCAATCTCCAGCATTAAAAAAAAAAAAAAGAAAGAAAAGAATATACTTTTAAAGTCTGCAAGAGAGAATAAGAAATAATGGTGAGCTTTATTTTCTTAAAATTTAAAATCCTGGTATGATTATGTATAAGGGAAAAGGAGATACATTTACAAAGATCAAGGATTCATTTATAAAGATCAGCTAATTTAAATGCTTAATATAGCTCTATTTAAATAATTTTGTCAGTGGATAGAGCTAATGTTACAAATGGCATTTGTTTTTCATGATCAGCCAACTGGTTACTAGCTTTAAAGAGTGATTATACAGGAATATACTCAGTATCAATTTACTCCATAAACCTGTATTCTATTTTTAAGTGCACATTATTATAAAAAAAGGGAATTCTCCAGTTCTGAAACACCTAGTCTTGGTGTGGGGTAAGACTAATTATTTTTTTTACAGAAATTTCAGATAAAAATAAACTTTACCATTAGCTGATTTTGTGTAACAAGAAATGTAATTTTATCTGAACATATCCAAACGCATGTGTCTTAATAGATCTGTAATATAACACCTTTTATGATTAATTTTTTCTGCTTTCATTCTTCCAATTTTCTCCTAGCCTATTATAAGACAGAGCTGTCAGGGAGAAGTATCAGGAGACATAAAAGCCAATCTGCCCAAGTATTGTGTACTAATTTCATCCTTTACTTTGAACAGATGAATGAGTGTTGCTCCATCTAAGTGTATTTATGTGAAGTTAAGGGGGAAAAAAAAACTTTAGTGTATAGACCTCCCTTTGTCTTGAAAAGCCAAAAGAAACGTGAGCTCTTTCTTTTATAGAGTTATAAACCAAGGCTAATCAAATGCATTTAAGGCAACATTTGTTTTAATTATTTTACTAGAGAAATGAAACAGTAAAACTAAACTACTTTTAAAAGATTTTAACTACATTGATTAAATCTCAATACATGTAGAAAAGGTGTTTTTTTTTTTACTAAACTACTTTTAAAAGATTTTAACTACATTGATTAAATCTCAATACATGTAGAAAATGTGTTTTTTTTTTAAACAATGATTTCTCACTATCATGATCTGCTCAATATACAACTTGTTAAATCTCTACAGACAGATATAGATAGGTGAAGACTGGTTTCTAGTACTGATTTTACTGAATAAAGTTAAATTAACACCAGGATAGTAGAACTTCGGTATAATTATTGTAATTAGAATTTTAAGTCCTTGGAGATAACAGAGAGCTATACACTTTATATAGTAGATGATAGATCAGTTATTAGTGAAGAAATGCATAGTCAAATGTATCGATTTTACAGATGAGCAAATTAAGAGTTTAACAAAATCTTAAAGGAACAAAGCTAATTCATAACAGTGCAAGGATAATTCAAATCGATGAAACACTTACTACTTTACACATTCTAGGATGTCAGAACTGGTGTCAGAGGTTAGCAAATTAGGCACCGGCCATGGTGGAGGCCTGGTTCTCACATTTGCAAGTATTGAAACATACTTATATGTGCAGATATGTTGTAGATAGCTGCCTCGACTCTTCTAAATGATGCACAGAGAAGTTATTAGTCTCATTGAAATTTCCTCTGATTGGACTTGAACCTTGACTCTGAAATGAACCCACAAGAGAGACAGGCACTCCTTTGCTCATCATCAGCAAAAATGGGAAAAGTCTCCATCCTTCAGCCAGTGCATGTGAGAAAAAACACCAACTGATATGATTTTCTTCAGTATGTAGACTAATTCTGGGGCCAGGAATTTAGGTTAGTGGCACCGTGCCTGCTTTGGACGTGCAAGGTCCTGAGTTTGATCCCTGGTACTGGAAAAGAAAAAAGAAAAGAAAAGTATGTAGACTAACTCCGAATCTATATTTAATTTTCGCAGAGAGAAAATGTAGCTGTTGTACATTTAGTGCTGTGAAGCGGGTAAAAAGTAATATTTAGCAGCAGTGTGTTTCATGTGCCTACATATGTATGTATGTGAACCTACATATGTGCATGTACACAGATATATCACACACATGTACTTTTAATTTCAGAGCTGAAAGATGGACCCCTGGATGGCACATACCGATTGGTTCAGTTTCACTTTCATTGGGGCTCATCTGATGGGCATGGTTCGGAGCATACTGTGAATAAACTGAAATATGCTGCAGAGGTAAGTTAGGCTTCTTTACAAGGAAAAATGTTTGTAAATCATTAGTTAGCATTAATTTAAAAAGTTTAATTGTAAATTTAACTCACAGCAACTGGGCCACTTCTTTTCCAGAGGATCTTCACATTTGCTTCTTCTGTGCTTTAGTTGTGCGATTTTAATTAAGGCTCTAAAACTTCTTCTAATGTCTCCAAGGACACCATTTGCAGCAAGTAAATGAAGTCAAATGGGAGGAACTTATTTTAATACAAATCCAGAAATAAAATTCATCCTTTCCCTCAAAATTCTACATTTCTTGGTCTTCATGTTGTGGTTGAAATCACTTGCTAGTCCACCAAGTTTTAACTTTTTTTTTTAGTATCCATTAGCTGTGGAGAAAAGATCATCAGGTAAGATCTGTTGGCTTTTGATATGTAAATCACGCATTGTGGTTTTTGTCTCCCATGGTTTTAGCTGCACTTGGTGCACTGGAATACCAAATATGGGGATTTTGGAAAAGCTGCGCAGCAACCCGATGGACTGGCTGTTCTGGGTGTTTTCTTAAAGGTTAGTTGATGGCCCAGTTCCTTGTTTCCCGTTTTCAAGAAAGACTGACCAGATAGAACATTCATATCAGGCAGGATATTCTTCTGTAAAAGACTTGAGGAAATGCCTTCGGCTCTGAAGTATTTTCTGGTTTACTTCTTCCTCCATCTCTTCATACCATCTTTTGGGAAGTCAGAAAGACAACTTAGAAGGCAGCATGATTAGATACTATTTCGATTTAAGGCATAAAAAGGTTAACTTCAGATGACTGGTAGGTGTGTGTTTTTTAAATTTAACCTGAAGCCAAGATCACTAAGGTCTTGTTTTATGATAGACAGCGCTAAAATAAGATTAGATTCTGGAGGGGCCAGGGACATTGGCTCAGTTCTGGAGCATTTCAGGCAATGGTTGGACCTCCCAGTTTGAGCTGTCCTCTAGCCAGAAGTAAAGGGAAGTGAAGGATGGGATGGGCAAGAGATTCACGAGCCCTGACACCATGTACTAAAGTGGAAAATGCAGGTATTAATGAAGTCATCCTAGCACAGCACAAAGGGAGATGATGAATCTGCTCCCCAAGAAACTGCACAATGTGAGGTTGCTATGGCATGGGAAAGATGCTGATAAAGTGACCAGAAAGGAGTATGAGAGTCAGGGTCTCTTAGGAGGGCTAAAGGGCATACAAGACAAAGGAGGAGAGAACTTTTAGAAGGAAGAGTGTGTGATAGTGTTAAATCCTATAAGGAGGCTCGGTAAGATACAGCCTTGAAGAGTAAGCTTTACTTTGGCAGTTGGAGGTCACTGGGGGCATTTGAGAGTTAAGTTTTAGAACTACACAGGCAAAAGCAGAGGCAGTTTGAAGATGCAGTGATGGTAGGGATATCTATGTAGTATCAGTGTCTTCAAGCTAAGACAGATGGGAAAGTGGTATAAAGTGGTACATTTTGCTTTATTTTTTTGGAGAAGTTTTGCGACAGTGCTACCCAAATCAAAATGGCACATAGCAGCTGGTTTACTGTATCTTGTCTTTTGTGTTGTTGTATAGATTGGTAGTGCTCACCCAGGCCTTCAGAAAGTTCTTGATGTACTGGATTCCATTAAAACAAAGGTAAAGTTTAATGTTCTGCCCTTCCTCAGCGTACCTATTTTTAATATTCCACTGTTTTAGGAATTCCCTTTGGTCAAAATGAATGGTCTTATTAACATGTAGGGTGTGGATGAACAGCTAATAAAGATGAAATAGAGCTTATATGTTTAACTGTTTTCCCTTTTCAAAAGCTGAGCCTGGGCTGGAGGTTTAGCTCAGTGCCACTGCACCTGCCTTGCAAGCTCAAGGTCCTGAATTCGACCCCCAGTATCAGAAAAAGAAAAAAAAAAAAAGGTTGATCCTAATTGTAGTATAATTCTTAAGACTTGTGGTTGTTTAGTCTTGCTGTTATCAGTTGAAGATCAAGAGGTGGAGAAGAGGAGGAAAGAGGGGAGGGAAAGAGGATGAAAAAAGGAAGGAAGACGTGTTATGTATACTTACCAACTCTACACAAGGAATGTAAACATTGTGTACTGCAAACATGCACTAATGGAAAATAAGAATAAGAGAATCTTATAATGGCATGGAAGCTAACAGCTTATCTGCACAAATTATTCATTCATAAAGCAAGTATTTGTAGAATGCTCATTATGTGCCAAGCATTTTGCTAATCCAAGCGATACAATAGTGAACAAGGTGCAGAAAGCCCCGTGTCACGGAGATTTATGCTATGTGACTTCTTTGAATTCACTCATCCTGTGTTTAAATCCTCTCTGCAGCGTAGCTGTGTGGAGGTCACTAAGCATCTGTTTAAGTGCTACAGTCGCTTCTACTGATGTCCTCACCAGTAACAACCCATAAAGCTCATCCTTCAATTGAAACAGCATCTTTCTTTTAAAAGATGTGCCTTTTCCTCATGGTCGGACCCCCTTGAATGGAATATGCCCAACGCTGCTTCCTCCTGGCCTTACTGTCTCTCTCACAGACTTTCACTTACTGCTCCGAGCCTGATAATCTCTATAGCTCGCCTTAGTCCTTTTCATACAACCTAGTTTTATCTTTTCGCAGCAGCCTTGTCACTTTTCCAGTAACGCATCCTGTTTGCGTCTATAGTTTGAGAGTACAGCACCCAGAACTGAATGCAGTTCTTCAGTTCTGACACAGCTATCAAGAGCATATAGCAAGACAATCACTTCCTCCTCAAGTACACTATATTTTCCTTACTGCAGCTTAAATTTATTTATCGTTTTAGTGGCACAAGTCTCATAGTAAATGCTAAATATGATCGTTTAAGGACTTACTGGAAAACAAAATATTATTTTAGATGGCAAGATGAAAAGTGGACGTGTGAAAATAATAATTAGTTTTTCTTGCTCATACGTGGCAATTTATATTTCCAAGTCAAATATTTTGTTAATTGTTTTGATTTTGTTTGCCAGTATATGTGGAACCTCGGTTTATAAACAGTTACAGTTATCAGAGAGGAATAGACCTATTTATATTTTGTGTTCTCCTACTGGTCTCCTGCTCTGATCACGTAACAGTTGTCATCTGTGTGTTTGCGCAACAGGGTAAGAGCACTGAATTCAAAAACTTCAATCCTCGTGTCCTCCTTCCTGAGAGCCTGGACTACTGGACTTACCCAGGCTCACTGACCACGCCTCCTCTTCTGGAAAGTGTGACCTGGATTGTACTCAAGGAACCCATAACTGTTAGCAGTGAGCAGGTCAGTTTTCTGAGAAGTCTGCTTAGAGACAGAGCATTTAGCAGGGCCTGAGGAGCGTGGCTTTTGAAGTCAGATATGGCTGGGATGTAATCGTCTTGCTGCTGCTTCTAGTCTGGCAACTAGTGTCTGAATAGTATTTAGCAAATAAACAGTGCTTAGTAAATTGTTGCTATTAATCATAACCCCACATGGTTTGTTTACTATGCTAAATTGGATGGTCATTGTAAGGATTAATGAGAAAGATGTCTGTCAATGAATGTATTAATTTTGTGGTTATCTATGAAGAAATAGAGGCCTAGAAAACAGAAATTTTATGCTCCAGGTTACATAGTTATCAGTGATAATTCCCAGCCCACTCCTCACTTACATAAGTCCTCACCGCAGTTTTATACAAGAATGCATTTCTGAATCCGGACAAAGGAGAACAAGTATCTATAGGACTTACTGAAGGGCTAGGGATTTAGCTCAGTGGTTCCACCACCTGCCTTGCAAGCTCAAGGTCCCAAGTTCAAACTGCGCCCCCCCCCTGCAGTAAAACCTCACTGTAGCTTTCCATAGAGGCTCAGACCAGGTACTCTTACCTGAAGTGATTATTACAGCTTTTAAGACACTAAGGAGTAGTCCCAAAGGTGGGTCCAAGTGAACTTTTCATTGACTGTGTCTGAGCGCACAGTTGAATGTGGAAAATGGGCGTTTCTTAGGATTCACAAGAGGATGGGTCTAAACAATTTAAAGAAAGAGTCAGCAGCCAGCATTTTTAAAAATGACTGTTGAGTATGTTTTTTTTAAGTCACAAAATTTAGAGACATGTAAGTTTAGATATTCAGTGCACAAGAGAGATTGCATTGCCCAGCTTTATTGTTTCACTGCCTGATATTGTGTTGGTAAACAGTGTGAGTTACCGGAAAATTGAAGTGCTTTTCACCCAGCTGCCTCAGTGGAATCAGGTCTGGGAGCAAGGATTCTATTTTTGTGTTCTCCCTTAGAATATTTACCTATGAATAGTAAACATAGTTCATATCTCTCTTTAAAGGAAATCTATATCTAACTGGAAACTCACTTGCAGTATATAATATCAAAGTGGGCCAAAAAATAGTCTGAATGTTGTCCTTGTACCCATAATGTTTGAGCAGGCTTCTTAAGTAGGGAAAGAATATAATGCTACTTCTTATTTGTAGAAGCAGTGTTTGGGTCATGATTTAAAAATATGAAAACACCTTTGCTTCCTTCATTGAGAATAACTGAGCCTGCAAACCAGAGTCTGCCTTTGATAGATCTTATGTCAAATAGATTTATTGGGTACATGCACACCCTCGGGTAAGGACAGTGACCTACTCCATTTGTCCTTGTGCTTTGGACTTGCAGTTAAGATAGAAAATGATATTAAACTAGAAATGTTAATTGTATATACAGTTACAAAGTACCAATATAATAGTTGGGATATTTTTCATGTCATGTAACATGGAGTCTGGAGGTGGGACCATGCTCAGCCCACACAGCCTGAGTGCTTGTTCTTCTTTGTACTTTCTTTTACCTTTGCAACGGATGACCTGGGTTGTTGGAAAAACCCTTTGAGCACTACATCCAGATATAATCCCTTTCGAAGAGGAATGAAATAACTCTCCTATTAAGAGTGGAGATGCCTTTGCCTGATGGCCCCTAGCAAATGTTTCATACCTCCCTGGATAACACTATGACCCTTACTCACGTCTGGTGCAATCCTCACCAAAGGACAGTGATCACCATGGTCAGTCGAGACCTTCAGATTTACCTCTCTTGCCATTAAAGGAGAGGATACATATCTGTTCATGTGAAAGTAGAGGGGTATTGGGTGTTAGATAAGCAATATAAATGAATCTGCTACCTGGATTTTTCTATACCATCTGATGCTAAAATAAATGAGCCCAATTGACCAACGTGAAAATGTAATTTAAATGATGGAAAAGGAGTGTAAATTACTTACTCTATTTTGACCAAAAACTTCAATTTGTTTCCTAAGCAGGCTCTTCCATGTTCGGGAGATTCTGTTGTATGACTCAACCGTAGGTGTCCTTAGAGAATTTCTTTTCATTGTAGGAGCAATAGACTGTATATGCTTTAAGTGTTGTCCTATATCAGAGTAGACTTACTGGGAAGGGTGGGAGGGATATTATTTCATAAAAATGATCAAGTTAAAGGCCATAGGTTGATGGCTTCTATATGACCACCTATAGCACCCTTTTTCAGTTAGATTAGGTCTTGACAAGGAGAAGAGAAATAGGACTTTCCATGAAAAACCTCACCAAAAAAAAAGGCTGGTTTGAAGGCTGCCTGTGTCACAGCAGTGGGCCAGGAAAATGAAACAGGTTCAAGGGCAATAAAAAAAATCAATGACAATGGTGTGAAAACCCTGCCTGGGAAAATACATTCTTGGGTTTCTATATATTTAAGCAGAGATGCCAGCTGGACACTCGGCTTGTGGAGCTTTCAGATCTCAGACCCTTTATCTGACTTTACAGATGCTGTAGCTTGTCTTCCCTGTAGCAGAAAACAAAAATATCATTTGAAACTAGAGCTGTTATAGTTGTCTTACATGTTAGAGCTATGGACTTACAGACTTTTGTTGTTTAATGTAATAGGAAAATAAGCTCACTGAAAATTTTCTTTAAAATAATCCCAATGACTTTATGCATTGTACATATATATTGGTTTGTTATATGAAAGCATATACATGTGACCTGTATGTCCTTACATATCTATTAGGAGCCAAATCGAGTTCTGATCATGGATACATGGGACTGTGAATATTGAAGAATGTATTTCAAGATTAAACATAATGCTCATATATGTCAACACTATTGCAAAACTTCAGTTTGTAATTTAATTTTGTTTTATTGTCTCATAGATGACAAAGTTCCGTAAACTTAATTTCAGTGCAGAGCACGAGCCTGAAGAGCTGATGGTGGACAACTGGCGCCCCACTCAGCCACTGAAGAACAGGCAAATCAGAGCCTCCTTCAAATAATATGGCCATAGAGTCAGCATCCACACAAGGAATCTTTGGGTGTTTCCCTGTAGCTAAGCACAACCTTAACCTTGGTGGTTTGGACCCCAGCTGATCTCTCACCCGATGTGCTTCCTAATAAACTGTGAGGAGCAAAGCCAAGTGTCATACTTAAAGTGATTCCAAGATGCTATATTAAAGAAAAACTTGCAAAGTTCTTATATATTTGTAGCAAAGTTATCTTAAAGATGAATTATTTTGCAATTCAGTGACTTTTAAACTTTAGGATAGGG